CATCTACAGCCGCTTGCGCCGCAGGTTTGGAAAGCTGCCGCCATCGAGGGGGCTGATGCTTCGGGTGGCGAGCACACGGTCCGGGACTTTTTGTCACCGTGTGTCCCCGAGTTTCAGATATCCTCGGGTCCTGGGGACAGTCCCAGCCCAGTGCAGAACTGAGCGCTCCCGGCTGCCGTGACTAATACAATTTGCTTTGCTCTCTTAACGACATACAGGCTGGCTGAAGTTTTAAACCCTTTTGACGAACTCGGAAAAATTAGAAGCAAGTATCAAGTATTGCTTTACACACCAGGGTTACTTTCTGCCCTGCAGAGATCCCTATTAGTACGAACATATTAACAACATGACTCTGAAGTATGGTAGTCACAGCCGTGGCCCTGGAAGACACCAAAAGAAGCAAAGAGCCTTAAAAATGTAGCCAGATGCTGCTACCTGAAGAGGAATGACGAGGCTGAAGGAGATGACATGACTCACCCAAGGTCGTGCAAGTCAGAGCTAGAAGCAGCACACACACTTCCAGCCTCCCCGCGCCAGGCTCTGATTACCAGCCCACATCCCAATCTGTTCCACCCAACACTCTTGCATCCCATCAGATTCCAGCGCAGCTCTCGCTGGGCACTGGGAGCATCCCTGCGGAGCAGCTGCACAGCTGCGGACAACAGGGGCTTTGGGGGTAAAGATTTTCAGTCCTTGATTCCAAATTCTTCTCTCATCTCCCTGCAATAAAGCTGACCTCCAGGCAAAGCAAAGGCAGTTCTGCCTGTACAGTTCTTGGGCCACATCATCTAAGTGTGCCTGAACACGAACCAGACGGAAAACACTCATCCCAGAACACACACCATCTAAGGGGCACGCACACTACGGCTGGACGTGCCCTTTGAGACGCTCTCCATGAACCGCCCTAGTCTAACAGCGATGCTGGCACACATGGCCCGTCCCTGCCCTGTAGGAATGAAGCTCATTTCACTGATGCAAATAGCAGGTGGGATGTCTGCCCCATTAAACCAGACAGTTACCATTTTAACTAGCCATTAAATGACCAAATGAACACTCTAATGAAGTTCCCTACAAGCATGCCGGTTTGTAAGTGTCATTTTGAAACCACACTAACGTCACAAAATCTAACATGAGAAACAAGATTTGAACTGGAAAGCTGTGGCACCAGTAGGACACTCTGGAGACTGGTGCTGAAGGGCCATCAGATGAACAAGGTCCCCAGAGCTGTATTTCACGTCTTGGGAGCATGAGCTTAGTTTCCTCAGACAAAACAGCACAGCGGCTTGGGAAAGCTGGGCTGGGCTTCAGAGCCGACAAATGTCCCTGACACTCAGGACAGGAGGAGTACACTGAGGCACAAGAAGCCGCAGATACCTGCTTGGCTGTGATGTGAGGATCCACCTGGTACAGGACTCACCTGGAGGGAGTTCAGCACGATGAAGACATAGGCCCAAATGATGCTGAGGTGGACAAGGACCCCACACACCCAGGTCAGCCCCAGCACGGGCAGCAGCACCAGGATGGGCTTGGCCGTGGCCCTGCCAGGAAGAAGAGCTCAGGGTTACCTGGGTGCCTTTCAAAGCCGAAACGCGATGCACTGGCACCCACCTCCCAGCCACCAGCTCTGCACGGGGTCTCTGTCGTGCCCATGTCCCTGAGCCCTGGGTGTCCCGGCAAAGCACCCCAGCCTGCCGAGTGGCCTTCCTGGCCCGGCAAACCCTGCCCAGGGTCTTGCCACGATCTGCCTGGGGCATCTGCCCGAGGTTACAGAGCACTGAGCGGATCTGCCCTGAAAGAGCTCCACAGGTTTAGGGATGCTCTGGCCTGTATCTTGCCGTTTAGAAGAAACTTTCCTTGTCTCCATGCTGGAGACGGCTCTCCTCCCCCAGCAAGTGCCTTTCGGATCATGTGTCCACCAAGAGGCACCTAAGATGGTAGCTATGGAACAAATTCCTTTGCAAACAAAATTAGTTAAGAGGGGAAAAACCAAACATTTCACCTCCCAGCCCCCCTTGTGCCAGCCCTGCTCTTTATTTATCACTAAGAGGTAGCAAGAAGGGAGCTCTTTGACGTCATTAGCCATGAGAAAACGGCTATTTTCTCCCCCAATTGCTGCTACAAGGAGGGCTTCTGTATTTGTTTTATTAGCATATGGATGTCACCCTGCCCTCCAGCAATGTCCTATCTTTGTGCTTCTGTAAATTTGGGAAAATTTATTTATGATACAGGGGAACAATGCGTGTCTAGCAGGGGTATCCGGCGCCAGCTAACAACAATAAAGATTCACAAAGGATGATAAAGTAATGACTCAAGCAGCAGTTTTTTAGAGGTCTCTCTGTATTGACTGAATACAGAAGTCCACACCGCCTTTTCCCCCATATATGTAATCCCCACCAGCGTTACTTTCAATCCACCAAGTCCCAAAATCATATAGGAAATGCTTTTTATAATGGCAAATAGCCAAAACCTCGGCACTCTCCACAGCTGGCATTCTTCTGTGGGGCACACACAAGTGCTACAGATGGGATGGGTGTGAGACAAATTCAGTTACGACCCCTTCAAACTGCAGTGTTCTGCAAAGTGGGGAGAAGCCGCTTCTGTGGTTCAGAGCTCTATAAAATTCCATGGAAAGTGGGCACCCAGCTGGGTCCCTGGTCCTTGAAACACCCCAGGCTGCTACCTCGCTTCCCTACGTGACATTTTACAGGACATCTGCATACCTGCCAGCAACCTGCTCGGCAGCACGGCGGGCTGACGTTAGCGAAGGGGCAGCCAGCTGGGCAGCGGGCCCC